AGCAAATGGACCTGATTGAAATGGTCTTCCTGCAGTATCAGCATCAGTGACCTGCTCACCTCTACAGACACATGCATTCCTTCAGACCTCTATATGTAAGTTCTCACTGTCTTACCAGTTAGTTAATGCTTCATAGAACTTGATTTTATAGTTTCCACTACTTGAGGTTTGGTCTTACACAGAGTGATTTTCTAGCCTCTCATATTACCAATAATGGAACCTTAATATGGATTTTGAAAAGCGAGTCAATATAGAATGGCTAATAAGAACACAGACTCTGGAGTCAGAGTGTCTGGCTTTATGCCATGACTCTTGACTTTATCTGCTCTGTGATGTCAGACAACTCACTTCACTGTATTTCATTTTTTGTCATCTGTGAAATAAGGGAAGAAACAGTGCTTTTCCCACAACACCGAAAAGATACTCAGTGTCCTTTCTGCCACCTGACATAGCTACCATCAGTGTTACCGTCTGAAAATCTGAAAGGGAGAAAATGATAACTGCCATGAAACAAGAGGGGGAGGGTGAAAAACAGAATGGTTACTGTCAAAATGATGCCAGTTTCAGTGTGAGAGTCTTGCTGTGATGTACAGTGTAATTTGCCTTTCTGTACCCTTATCATTTCAATTCTTAAGTGTGTGTGTGTGTGTGTGTGTGTGTCAGTGTGTGTGTGTCAGTGTGTGTGTGTGTATGTCAGTGTGTGTGTGTGTCAGTGTGTGTGTGTGTGTGTGTGTGTGTGTGTGTCACAGGTGTGCCACTGGACGTGTTTAGAGGTTCTGGGGACTGACCTTGGATCATCAGATTTTTGTTGCAAGCGCTTTCCTCACTGGGCCATCTCACAAGTCCTGAAAGTACGTTTCCTAACTCCAAATGTCAGATTTCCGAGTTCAGAAGTCTTAGGCAGCGTGGAGCAGGCCTTCTCTACCTCCTCACTGGTGCCCTCTAGGGATTTTGTTGTGTGGGCTTCTCTGGCACACTGCAGCTGGCCTGGACGCACTAGATGTCAGTAGTATTGGGTCAAACCCCCAACCAAGACAACACAGATATCTCCAGATTTCACCAGACATCCCATGGAAAGAAAATGCTTCGAAATAGTGTCAGAGGAATTACAAAAGTCACCCGAGGTTCTATTTGCAACAACGGCAAACTATTTGCTGGTCACATTGAACTTGCTGTATTGTGGCTAGCTTTTTGCTTATGAGGTAATACATCAGCATTGTTTTTGCTGAGGAATATCCCTCTATAGGATGACAGTGTAATCGGAAGTTTCCCTCTGTCCTGCCAGCAAATCCCAAATACCCAGCAGCCATTTCCCAAATAATTGACTCGGCGCTTAATATTGCTTATAAATGCTCAGCCGGTATTTCAGATTTATTACTAACTAGCTCTTACACTTAAATTAACCTATAATTCTTATATATGTTTAGCCACATGGCTTGGCACCTTTTCTCAGTATGGCATTTTCATCTTGCTTCCTCTTTGTCTGGCAGGCGACTCCTGACTCCACCCTTCTCCTTCCCAGCATTCTGAGTTTGTCTTTCCCAACTAACTTCCTGCCCAGCTACCAGTCTGTCAGCTTTTTATTAACCAATGAAAGTAATATATATTCATAGTGTAAAAAAAGGATTATTCCACAGCATGACTGGTGGTGGGGGGGAGGAATTTATGTATATGAAGGATATGCAGTTGTGTGTCTGTGTGCATGTGTGTGCATACACAGAGGCCAGAGGCAGGCATCGGGTGACCACTGGAATCTCAGGTTGAGGGTCTGATCACACTCCATCCCCCTTTTCTACAAGAGGGTCCACCTGCTCTGATTAAGATGGTAATCACTGTTGTGCTCAGAGGCCAGCATTCTACTACAACAACATTTTATTTTCATAGTGGTATTGGGCTCTGAGAACATTTCTATGTGGTCTTTGTTGCCAAGTGTCAGAATATAACACTGACAGGTCTTTACATAAGGCTGAGTTTTCATTTAAGATGCTACATGAATAACATTTTTATTTGAAAGACATTAGTCAGGGCAGAAGAGACGGTTTATCAGTCAAGAGCACATGCCTCTCTTCCACATGACCAACTTTCAGCACAAGTCAGAAGGCTCACAGCCGCATAGAACTCCAGTTCCAGGGGACCCAACACCCTCTTCTGATCTCTGGCACCTATCTATCTGCAGTATACTAACACAGACGAACACACATACATAAAAACAAAATTAATCATAAAAAGAAGTTTGTCAGAATATTACTAATAAATAAGAGGATTTCAACTGGATGTTAAAAATGGAAAGAACAGCTGGGTGGTGGTGGCACACTTTAGTTCCAGCACTTGGGAGGTAGAGGCAGGTGGATCTCTGTGAGTTTGAGGCTAGTCTGATCTACAGAGAGAGTTCCAGGACAGACATGGCTGCACACAGAGAGACACTATTTCAAAACAAAACAAAACAAAACAAAACAAAAACCCAAAAAACAAAAAACAACCATTCCCCCCACCACCACCACCACCACCAAATGTGGGAAGAACAATCTTATTAAATGAGAAATTTACATTTTGGGGGTCATAGATACCTATATAACAAGTGGATGGGTGGGAATTGGAAACATGGTATTCTTGGATATAAATCAAGACTTACAGCGATAAGAACAGCTCTCAAAGAGAATAAGAGTTTATTCTGGAGCCAGATATGAGTGCCTGTGTACAAGGAACACAGACCCAAGTTACCACAAATACCATGTTATAACATGCTAGGAATCTTAAGAAATTTTATGGTAATAGAACAAAGACTGTTATAAATCAAGCCATTCTGCAGTTATGTCATGGAAACATCAGGAAGGAAGATACAGCAAGGCAGACTAGTCTATGCTAGGGTCTCAGGTGTTCTCTCATGACTTTAGCCTTTAGCTAGTACTCTGATGACAGTATCAGCCTTTGGGTTGGTGGAAGCTAGGGTACTTGTTGATACATTCAAAAAACGATAAATGAAGCAGACATAAGGGTGTTAGGTCACACACAAAAATGGGCAATAATTTGATAACTATTTAAGGGGATAAAGATAGTTTATGATAATTTTGCTCCCACCTTCAAATCAGGTCTTGGTTATATGGCTAGATTCTTACTGAGAATTATTTCATTTCTGCCAAACGTTAACTTAATGTTGCCTCCCTTTAAAAGTAAGTTTTTGTGAAAGATCTCAAATTATTAAAAGTATCAATTAAGGAGAAAATGAACACAAACCAAAACTGAACAAAAATTCATTGATTAATTCCGGGTAGCCTGTTTAAAAATCTTTTAAAAACTTTCCTCTCATGACCTCTTTTTAAGAGAAAAAAAAATTTTTTTCTTTTTTTTTTTTCCGGAGCTGAGGACTGAATCCAGGGCCTTGTGCTTGCTAGGCAAACACTCTACCACTGAGCTAAATCCACAGCCCTGAGAAAAAATTTTATTTGTCCTTGGTTGTATAGGTACATTAACAGAGGTGTACAAATCAAACATTTGCTAGTTTGTTCTTCACAGTCTCACTGTGTGGATCCAGGTGGTCTGAAACCTAAAGAGAACAGCCCTCCTCTGCCTCTGGAGTGCTGGGATTAAAGGCATGCCTCCACACACCAGACCATAAATTTGTTTTTTAAAATAATTCTTTTGTACACATGCATCTTAACTACTTATTAATGACTAAAGCAGACATGGATATACAGCTCAAAGCAAAGATTCACTAATTTGAAGGAATGCTAAGGAATGATAACAGGAAAAAAGGAAAAGTTTCGCTTTCTGTTATTAAACCGCTGTTTCTCAAAGCATAGCACATTTTGTACAAACTGTAAAAACATTGCAATTCATACATGACTAGAGTAGATGAAATCTGAGCTGACATACTTCACTAGCATGAACAGACAAAATATACATGGAGAGTGTCGAGAACCAAAGCTGAAGAGAAGTCAAGTCAGAAACAGGCTGTATCCTTGAGACTGACTGTACATTCAATTTTTAAAGTTTTGGTCAGGTACTGCCCCCCAACCCCGATGCCATGCACAATTTTAAAAGCGTTAGTTTAATTCAAGAGCCTTTTGCAGAAGGCAGTCAGAGGAGCAAAGGGCTACAGCTATTAGTTAGGAAGACAAACTGTCCATCCCCAGCCATCTTCACTTATTTGGGAGAAAACAAACAACAGGCAAGTTTCCAGTACAAATTTAACTGATAAACTATCTCTCCAGCCCTGAAAAAAAGTCTTTAAAAAAAAAAAAGAAAGAAAGAAAAGAAAGGAAGAAAAAAAGCCATTCACGTAGCATCCAAAATCAAAGCGTAGCCATATCTACAAGAAAGAAAGAGAGAGAGAGAGAGAGAGAGAGAGAGAGAGAGAGAGAGAGAGAAGAGAGAGAGAGAGAAAGAGGGAGGGAGGGAAGGAGGAAGGAAGGGAGGGAGGGAGGAAGGAAGGAAGGAAGGAAGGAAGGAAGGAAGGAAGGAAGGAAGGAAGGAAGAAAAAAAATGCCATTCACGTAGCATCTTAAATCAAAGCGTAGCCATATCTACAAACCTGTAAGAGTTATATCCTGACACTTGGCACCAAAGATCATATAAAATGTACTCGGATTTAATACTAATAATCATAATAGATTTTAATAGTTCATTACAGCAGCTCAGTGCCCCATGGGCTTCTAAATGTGATTTAAGCAGGCATGGTAATGGAGTTCAGAAACATCCAGTCTCTCCCTCACGGGCAAATTCCTTTTGGCCGGGACTTATCTTCAAACCTAGAAAAAAAAACGTCTTCTAGTGCCTCAGAGGGCCTGGCCGCTTCATTGGTCCTTGACTGGTTCAACAGGGGTCAGCCTGGTCGGCCTCGGCAATGCTAGTCCTCCACCGGGGAGGGCGCTGTACGATCTGCCGATGGTGCGCCCCTGCCAGCGCCGAGCTCGGTTGGAGACGCTCTGCTCTCAGCCAGGATCCCCTCGGTGGTTGGGGTTTGCGGAAGTGTTTCTAGGCGACGGCGCTCGCGGACGACGCCTGCGCAGTGGCCGCCGCCGGCGGGCTGGCTGACGCTGGCGGGTTGAGGGAGTTCCTGCTGGTGGCTGTCACCGCCCCGTTCCTCTCCTCCCGATGGTGCGCTCCTGAGGCCAGCTGCCTGCGGGCGTCGCCCCGTGATGGAGCACATCCGGACGACCAAGGTAGTCGGCGGGAGATCCTCGCGGCTTCCGGGGTCCATCCGGGCAGAGGCGGGCGGGCGGGCAGTTTGGGGGTGCGGGGCCGCAGCTGCGAGCCGGCAGTTTCGGGGTGCGGAGGCCGTGAGGACGGCGCAGGCGCCTTGGCAGGAGGTGCTTGGGGAGTCGACCAACGGTGGCAGCCCAGCGAGCTCCGCGTTCTTGGGGGAACTGCTTTTTTACTTTGGGGGCTTTCGGCCGATCGCCGCCTGGCTGGCCCCCAGCCGGGTGGGTCCCGCATCGTCAGTACTAGTACTGTGCCGAGGGAACTAGTCTTGTTTTGGCTTACGTGCCCCGCCCGCAGATTCGGGGTGCTAACGTTAGAGCATCCGAGCCCGCTCACTTTGCTAGTCCTCCAGCCACTTAGACCTGGTACTTCTGTGCTTCCGACTTTAGGCATTGTCCTAAGTGTTGGGAGCCAGCTTGACAGCAGTTATGCAGAAGGGGAAAGGCTATGTCCATGGAATTTCCCCATAACTGAGCGTGTCGAGTCCGTCCTTTATTTTTCCCTGTGAAAGGAATTTAGAGAATGAACGAATTTTTTTTTTTTTTTTAATTTTTGGAAGTTTAAAAACTGATATGACACCCGACTGTTACCCACAGTGAATTAGGCAAAAGCTTCAGCTTCAGAAGGGAACAAAACAGAAAATGGAGATCGATGGGTTTGAATATCATTTTAAGATGGGAAAAACAATTCTCCTGGTTTTACCAAAGCCGTAACAGTCACTTGCTACCTGTCCTAAAGATCTTAAAGTTACAGGTCATTTGGGAACAAGCTGAATTACCTTCATTGTTCTTTAAAACGTTTCACAGCCCTTTACGTTTAACGTGGATTTGGGAGTTTGCCTAGCCTATTTGTAGTAAACTTGGAGATGCTGAGAATCCAACTCCTTTTTCAAGACTTTTTTTTTTTTTTTCTTTAAAGAGAAGGGAAATAAAATGATTGAAAAGTTTGAGTTGCTGACATTTAAAGTTTGAAAATGGGAGGGTGATTAGATATCCAGTGGAAGGCAGGGAAGAGAGCAGTGGGCTCGAGAGCCAGGTCTTGACCTGGTCACAGGGCCCGGGCAGCTGTTGGATCAGAAACTGCCTTTCTCTCTTTGAACCTCAGTGCAGCTCTCATTTGCTTGCTGCTGTGAAACACACACACACACACACACACACACACACACACACACACACACACACCAGTGAAAGCAAACTGAATCCAGTGAGCACACCCTATCCCTAAGTGAATGGTGAGTGAACACCGACGTGAACACAAATTGAACCCCTCCTTCAATTTATGATTAATTAATAAATATCTCTGGCTTTGCAGCAGGGTGGGAGGGGGTGGGGGGGGAGGGCGAGAGTATAACTGTAGCTTTTATGACCTTGAAGACTGTCCTTGATTAAGCCTGACTTTTCATGGTGGGCCCATGCCAGTGTTAGGTAAGGCTGCTTTTTGCAGGTGTTGAGGTAAGGTTTCTTTAGGTCTTTTTAAAGGTTAAGAGCTTTCCAGCTGGTTTCCTACTGAAGTTGCTTCTTAGGGGAGCTCCTTTGTTACTCTGTGTGTTGGTTGTAGCATCCGCTCACTTCTCTGGAATAATCTTAAATGGGTGTAATCTTAAATGTAGACTACAGTGGAACAGAGGTTTGTTAGGTATTTGTGTGTACACACTTGACTGACACTGGGCAAACCACAGCAAGATCAACACGAACCTCACGATGTATCCTGATAATTATCATGTAGACGGTGCCATTTCCTTAAGTCATTATTTGGAAAAAGAGCATATTCTTACACAGTGGCTTTGAACGTGCCAAAGTCTTTGTTATGTGTAGTCTTCATCTAGACATATTTAATTTGCTGCAAACAAAAAAAATTGTGTTTCCAAACCAGAAATAGATTGCTGTTTTAAACTCTGTGTAGTTTAGTTAGTATGATCAATAATTGTCTGTAGGGCTGTCAAGATGGCTCATTGGGTAAAGGCACCTGCTGCCAAACCTGGCATTGGTTCTCCAGAACCCATGTGGTGGAACCCACTCATTCCTGAAAGGGGCCCTTTGACCTCCACACAGGTTCTTGGCCTGTGCTTGCCTACCATCCCCCCAAGTAAAAGTAATAAGCAGTTTTTAATTGGCTAGAATGCTGTATGACTGTTTGGTGATTTTTTTTTTTATGTTGTTTAACAGCCGTTTTTGATAAGTAATAGTTACCTTCTGTTGGCAATTATATCAATGGACACGGTTATGTAATAGTGTCATAATTTCACAATGTTCACATTTCACACATATGTGTTAATTCATTAGATATTATGATTGTGAGGGTGTCTTTTAATTATCAACTTGCCACAGTGTAGAATCACGTGGGAAAGGAGTCCCAGTGAAGGACTGCCTGGATCATGCTGGCCTGAAAACATGCTTGTGAGGGTTGTTTTTTTTTTTCTAATTGATTTTTAAAATTAATTTCTTAATGTTTTTAAGAAACATTTTAAGAACAAATGCTCTTAACCATTTTTTTCACTGGGGTAGGAAGGTCCAGCCTGATGTGGGCAGCAGCATTTTTGGGGGTCTGGGTCCTGAATGTATAAAAGTAGAGGAAGTAAGGGGACACATTCATGCATTTATTTTCTCCTGCTCTTGACTCTCAAGCCTCTGCTGCTGTGATTTTCCCCACAATCGTGGGTGGGTTGTGACCTGGCGTTTTAAGCCGAATAAATCCTTGCTTTATGTCAGAGTATTTTATCACAGTCACAGAAATGGATCTAGGACAATCACTGATTTGAAATTATTCCCAGCAGTGGTTTTAGAATCTCCATTTATAGACGAGAAAGACATTGGTGAGTTTGAACAACCTGCCAGGTTAACCACATGTGGTGGCAGTTAGAATTTAAACTAATGTCTTAACTTCAAAAGCTATGTGTGCTTTTCCCAGCATGAATAGTTTCAATAAAATTGTTAAATTGGTGTTCGTTTAGAAAATAATAACTAAAAGGTTCTTCAAATTTATCATAAGTAATAATATCATAAGTTTTATGTTCTTGTTTTGGTATCATTTAGGACTACTGTTTGCTTTGTGGTCTGCTATTAGAGATTCGTTTTTTGGCTGAATAATAATTAGATAACTTTCTGGCTCCAAAATTCACTGTTAGGTATGTCATCCTATTTTTATCACGTTTGCCTTGACACCATGTCTCACTGAACCAGATGCTCAGCCTTCCAGACAGGCTGGCCGAGCTTCTTAGGTCTCCTGTCTTCCCTCCCCCAATCGGGGGGGGGGGGGCACAGGCACATGGGACTGCCCAGCTTTTCACATGTGTGCTGGGGATTCAAACTTAGGTGCTCGTGTTTGCAGAACTAGTGTTCTTACCACTGAGCTGTCTCCTAGCCTTGAGACTTTAAGGGTTTGCTTTTTTGTTTTGTTTTTTAGTTTTAGTTTTCAGTAGATTTATTTGTTTTATGTGTGAGTGTTTTGCCTGCATGTATATGTGTGTTTTGTGCCTAAGGAGGCCAGAAGAGGGTTGGAGTCTCTGGACCTGGAGTTACTGATGGTTGTGAAATGCCATGTGGGTGCTGGGTACTGACCCTGGGTCATCTATAGGAACAACAAATGCTCTTAACCAGTGACCCATCTCTCTAGCCCCCAGTTTTGTGTTTAGAGATTTAGTTTTATGTGTATGAGTGCTTTGCCTGCGTGGATGTATATGTTCCGCATGCATGCCTTGGTGCCCACACAGGTCATGCCCTGGAACCGGAGTTAGGGATGAGTGTGGGCCATCGTGTGAACGCTGGGAACCAAACCCTAGGTTCTCTGTAGAGGGAACAAGTGCCTTAACCACCGAGCCAATTCTTCAGCCCCTGAGGCCTTAGATTTTGAGACATACTTGAATACTTGCCCCAAGCAGGACACCATTTTGTCCCATGTCACAGGTGAGAAACCTGCAGTTTGTCAAGATTAACTCACCTGTCTCGGCAGACAGAGAATTAATTATTGCCTCACTGGTTGCTAATAGGAGCTGGATTCTGAGATCCAGGGCTTTCTGATACGAAGCCTCCCTCTCACTGCCACACTCTCCCGCCTAGCAGAATAGTTATCTAGTGAAGAGTTACCTAGTGAATGGGTTAGAGTGTGGAGGCAGGGCTGTGTGGGTAGGAGTGGAGGGATATGAGGGCAACTAGGCGGGAAGGTTTTGTATAGTGATCAGTTCATTGTGAGGCTGTTGAGCTAGGGGAAAGGTTGAGGGAGAGAAGCAGATTCTAGGTAATCATTGAGAGTAAGAGGATACTTTGAGACTCCGTAGAAAAGAGAAGGGATGTTGGAGCCTAGGAACCTGCAGAAAGGTGCATACAGAGGTCAAGGTGCTGAGGTGGAAGAGCTGTGAGGCGGAGGGGCAGAGAGGACCCTCCTTGCCCTAATTCCCTTCTCTGTGCCCATTGTGCCCCGCTGTCTTCTGCTCTGGCCAGGCACTGTTCTACATAGTAGGAAACAAGGCAGACGGCAGTGAACTAGACAGCTGAAAACTGCTGAGAAAGGGTATTCCGAATCAGGAAAGACAAGGGTAAGCAGAGTTGATGGATCGGGGCTACACTGTCGTCAGATGGTAGTCAATGCTGGGAGAGCAGTGAAGCCAGCAGGGACTCTGGAGATTACAGGGTGCTGTTGGAGGGACAACACAAATCGGAAGTGGGGGGAGGGGTAGGCAACAGAGGCAAAAACATTCCCCTTGGCCAGCCTTGTCGCTAAGAACTAGTGAGAAAAAAACAGCAGAGCGGGTGAAGGAGGTTTCTATAAAATATTAAAATTGGCGGAGGGCAAGTTATTGCAGATGTTTGAAGGCCACTGTAAAAATCTTTTTAACTTTTTAAAGTGTGTGTGTGTGTGTGTGTGTGTGTGTGTGTGTGTGTGTGTGTGTGACATGAGCGCTGCAGTGTGCGTGTACAGGTCAGAGGACAACTTACAGGAGGTGTCTCTTCTACCATGAGTCCTGGGAATTGAACTCAGGTCATCAGGCGTGGCAACAAGTGCCTTCACCCATGGAGCCGTTAGCCACCTTTATAAATCTTTGCTTTTACTCTGAGATAGGAAGTTCTGTGCTCAACAGTGTAGAAGAGCAAAGTGAGATAGAACTGAAAAGTTCCCACTGGATTTATGATCGAGAATACTCTTTTCCCCTTTTAAGAAGTCCGTAATTGCCGGGCGGTGGTGGCGCACGTCTTTAATCCCAGCACTCGGGAGGCAGAGGCAGGCAGATCTCTGTGAGTTCAAGGCCAGCCTGGGCTACCAAGTGAGTCCCAGGAAAGGCGCAAAACTACACAGAGAAACCCTGTCTCGAAAAACAAAACAAAACAAAAAGTTCGTAATTGCTTTGCTGATTATTTATGCTGCCAGATGTCCTAGCACCTGAGGACAGAGCACCAAAGAGTCAATGCCCTCACTTACCAGCTTACCGTGTGCCGCATGCACATCATCATACTGTTCTCTTCCTTTTCCACAGCTAGTTTTCACAGAATGTCTGTAGACCCATAAGAACCTATAGTTCTTTATAGTGCTCTGAGAAAACCTTGTAGAGAATTCTAGACCACACTAAGAAGGGGGATTTTTCCCTGATTGGGTAATGAACTGGGGACAGAACTGAAATTACCAGTAAGAATTGTATTAGCAAAGTAAATGGGTGGATGGATGGATGGACAGATGGTAGAGCAAGGTCAACAGTAACTGTTTTCTAGTAGTTTTTCTACTTGTTTTTAATTTATGGCGCATGCATGGATTACTGAATAAATGTTTCCTGGTCAGCTGCTGTAAACAGTAAAGGCAGCAGGGGGAGATAACAATAATAAGACAAAGAAGAATCCCATTTTATAAATCCCTTGAATGATTTCAGCAAGGGCTCACTGCTGTATTGTGATCATTTTCCTTATGAGGAGTAAGTTCTCCGTGACAGTTCATCTGAGGTCACTAAACATCCGTTGTCTCAAACACTATTCTATCATCTGGCGGGACTCAGAAAGAAAACAGGAGCCAGTGACTGCCCTCAGGTACGGACCAGTTTTTAGTGGGAGAGAACCAGTTTTTAGTGGGAGAGACGGACACTGGAACAGGCTTTGATCTTAGCTCTGTTGTCCTCTAACAGAGGTGGAAGGCGGAGCTTGAGGGGGGTGAGTGGATGAGTCAGGAAGGCAGGCAGGAGGATGATGTCCAGTGCTGGCAACTCCATGTGGATGGCATAACGTAAGTCACGTGTGAAATGCAGAGTTAGGGTTGTGTTTGTAAGGGGGTGGGGAAATCAAGTCATGGCTCTTAAGATGTTTAAGTGCAGACAGCATAAGGCCAGGCTCAGTGCGCACTCCCCTGCCTCGGGCACTGCAGGAGACCAGCACAACATAGGATGTGTTAGTCAGACTGGGAATGCAGAGCTCTGAGGGACCAGAAGTTAAAACCGGAATGAAAACTGTGAGATTGTCTCCCTTACAGACAAGCTTTGCAAGTAAAATTGTACTATATGGGAAAGGAAAAAGTCACAGTTTAAGGCCGGAGTTAGAGAAGCATTTGTCTTTAGCTTTGCTTGGACTTCCTTTTAAAACAGACTTCCTGTTTGTTCATAGCCACACCCTTTAAAACCCTTTTTTATTTTCTCCCAGGAGCTCTTTGAAGTATTCTAAGTCATTGATCTCTCTCTCTCTCTAGTGGTGTTGATACTTTTCCATAACCCTTAACTCCACACATGTTCACTACTGCTCTTATTAAAGGAAGTAAGGTAAGAGAGAGCTGGTCAGGGTCTGGGCTCTGTTGTTGGCTTTGTCCCTTTTCAGCTAAGTCTTGACGACACTTGGAGAGGAATGGACAATTCTTGGTTCTGTTTGTTTTTAAAGGCATATAAATTGAAGTTTTAGTTTTCAGTGTGAGAAAATGAAGCCATATTTTACTTGAGGAAGACAAGGCCCTAGACAATGAAGGAAATGTTGACTTTAAAGAGAAATCTTCATGGAACAGAAAGCTTTCCCTACCACCATCACCCCTACCTCACCCCCACACAGTCCTCCGTCCCCCACCCCCCATCCCCACGCGGTCCTCCGTCCCCCATTCTTCCTTCCCCAGCCTCTCCAATGCACCACCACACCTGGCTTTCCTATGTTCTTGACAGTCAATGTAAAATGATCACTTGTTATATGGCAAATCCATTGTCAGACCTGAGTTGTGGTAGACCATACCTCTTGAGTTTCCAATGGGAGGTATCCATACTTAATTTATTGTCTTTACCATGCAAATAAAGTCTTGTATTAAATATTTTTAATTACATTTAAGTTTTAACTTATTTGAACTGTGATATTGTAAGTGAGAATCCTCTGTGGAAGTAAATTATAGAGAGGGAAAAAGGGTGGCCTTTTAAGTGGTGACTATTAATTAATCATTTCATAAGGGGAGTTTTTGTTCTTCAGCTGATAAGAGGTAAGTAAATATGTCATGAAAGTATAGAATTAATGATCTCATGGTAAGCTCTCTGGTTTGAAGTTCTATACAATGTAAAGAATCGTCTACAACCTCCTATGGTAGAGCTGTACATTAAAAGTTATGTTGGTAGCACCGATTTTACGTTTATCCTATAAGATGATTGACGTCAGATTTTAAAGCTATAGTCTCCTCTGACTAGTCCCAGTCCCGCTCTGCACTCTTGTGGTAGGTGTGTGTGTGTGTGTGTGTGTGTGTGTGTGTGTGTACACCAGTATTAATAGACACGAATACTGCTATACTTCTGTAATGTGGACATCATTAGCATCCTGGACACTTTAGGAGGCCAATGCAACTTAGGACAGTTTGTGTCAGGGAGCTCAGCAAAGAGACAAGGTGACATAAGTAACAAGTTGGCTTTCTAAGTAAGAGTTACCTTTGGAGGTGGGGCATCAGTGAGTCTAGGAGAAGGCTGGACTGAGTGGAAGAGAGCTTTGTAGGAGAGCAAGAGCCAGAGCTGGCTGCACAGCAGCCATGTTTGGTGTAGCGGTGAGGGGAATATAGAGTATAAGCTGGAGCTTGCAAACAGTAGTTTCCTAATTTAATTTCCCCAGTCGTGTACTTCTAGAACTTTATATGATTACTTGATTTTCCACTTAAGATAAAATTGGATAGTGTTCTGTGACAAAACTTCTTTCGGGGAGACACTACACATACCTCTACTCACCTCAGATAGGGAGCCCACAACAGACCAAAGTGTGTGGCCTTGGCTGTCCTGGAACTTGCTCTGTAGATGCTCTGTAGACCAGGTTGGCCTCGAGCTCATAGAGATTCACCTGTTTCTGCCTCCCAGTGCTGGGATTAAAGGCATGTGCTACCACTGCCCAGCTGAGAGCGTCCCTTCTAAGTGGTTTGGTTGATCTAAACCTTTTCAAAGCAGCTCAGCTGGTTTCTAGTTTCTACTTCCAGTAGGAGGGTGTGGTCTCAGAGTCTTCTTTGCAGCTTGGCTTGTCTGAGAATGACTCAGCGGCTTTATTATATGGAAAGGGGGCATCTAGTGAACCTGGTTGGTTTCAGGGATTTCCTGAAGCTCTTTTGACTTCTTTACCTTCCTGATTAAGAAGAATGGGGATGTTTCAATCTTGGAGGAAGCTGCTGCACAACAGACTAGGTGCTCTCTTTGGCAGGACATCCAGTAAAGTGGGCTCTTAGATGTGAAAAGTACTTTGCTCACACATACTGTACTAGTACATGAGGGTTGGTGTTTCTTACAGTCTTCCCTAGGTTACATTGGCATCTAAACAATATCCGTGTTGCTTGTAACTACTTGTGTTCCTCCAAGAGATAGATGAAATTTTACCCTGAATATTAAGCATCTTCTTTGGGACAAAAAAGGGAAACACCATAATGATGAATGTGGTTCCTGGGATTAGAAAAATACCTGAAAGGACCTCAAAGTTGGCACAGACACCCCAAGACCAAGTTCTCAGCACAAAGGAGATTTATTTGCCTCAGAGGTCAGAGGGCAGGGGGTAAGAGACAAAGACAGGAGATGTAGGACTAGGGAGAAGGAGAAGGGAACAAGGGAAAGGAGGTAGGGATATTTGTCCTGGAGGGACAAAGGACTGTCTGAATAGAGAGGAGAGATACAGGACCCATAGGCAAATGGCAGTTTATAAAGATAAAGGGGGAAACTCTGTGTTAGTATGAGTTAGTTAATTTTTAATTGGGCATGTTAATTAAGGTAGCCAAAGGGGGCTTTTGATTGCTGGACTTCAGTACTTTGATAATTTGACCTTGGTAGTCAGCCTCAGGAGGAGGAAGTGGCCAAATAAGGGACTAGACTTGGTGGCTGGCTTTAGGAATGTAATCTACTGGTTTAGCAAGGCAGAGGGAACGGGGAAGGGCAAGGCCTGCCAGAGCCATGTTTGCCATGTTCAGGCCCACTAGAGTCCTTCAGCTACTGTCCTGGTTAGCCTCAATTACCCACCGAACACAGTGCAGGGTCCTCTGAGAGGAAGAGCCTCAGCTGAGGATTGCCTGCGTTAGACTGGTCTGTGGACGCGTCTGTGAGTCTTGAT